TTGTGCTTCATCCTGTAGAGTGCTGACATTATAGCACTGCATCTATTTCTATGCTATTTTGGTAGTTTTTGTTTTGAGGCAGGTCTTGCTGTGTTGTCCTTGCTAAGTACTCCATATGCAGTAGTCACTATGTAGGACAGGCTTACTTATGATAAAGTTCTTTCTTATTTTTCTTTTGTGGTGCTGGGTGCTGCGTGCTTTGAACTTTCAGTAATCCTCCTGCCTCAGTACTCTATGATCTCAAGTACTGAGATCACAGACATGTACTAACTACCATGCTTGGTTATTTCTATGCTTTTTAATATGATTCAATTAAGGTAGAATTGAAAAAAAAAGATGTTTCTGAAACTTGAAAATTTGTTATTTTGATACTTAACATGGTCTTTACCATTACATAGTAAAAAATTCATATATAACTTTTGTGTGATAGTAATTCAAAGAATATTTTTTGTTATCCTGTTTGTCACACTGACTAGTTTTGTTCAACTTGATTAAAAATAATTATAGACATTAAGTTTTTAGAAATATTTTATTAATTTTATTTAATGTATGTGAATGTTTTGCCTGCATATATAGAAATGTATCCATGTCCTTCCATACCCATGGAGGCAGGAAGAGGATGTTGGATCCCCTGGAACTGGAGTTACAGATGGTTGTAAGCCACCTTGTAGGAACCTAACCCAGGTTCTCTGCAAGAGCCGTGAGTGCTCTTAACTGCTGATCCATCTCTCCAGCCCAACAACAAATTTCTTTAGGCTGCATTTCCTAAGGTTATGGACTTTTAAAAATAACACAATATCATTATTACACCTTACAAAATTAACAGTCATTTCCTTATATTATCTAATAAACTGTCATGACTCATGTTCAGATTATTGCAGTTTTCCTTAAAGTGTCTTTTAAAATTTTTTTAAAAAGAATTCAGAATTAAATTTAGAAGAGCTCCTCCTTTTCTGGAAATATGCTTCATGTTATTGATCAGCTTACAGAATCTAGGGCAGTTATCTTATAAAATAGCCCACAATCGGGATTTGTCCAATTGTTGCCTCATTAAAAAAATTAAATTTAAATTTGCATATAGAAGTGTGGGTATTCTTTAGAGGGGGGGAATGTTAGAGTAGCAAAAAGCCTCATAAAGAAAGGAAGGAAGGAAGGAAGAAAGAAAGAAAGAAAGAAAGAAAGAAAGAAAGAAGAGAAAAAAAGAAAAAAAGAAAGTATATGGAGATGTTGACAGGGAGGGAGTGGGCGTGGTTTTGGTCAAAACACCTTATGTGCATACATGAAATTCTTAACAAAGTTTTTTTTAAAAGTTAAAAAAAAAAGTGTGGGTAAGTGAGTGTGTGGGCTTGTGAAAGTTTACTCCCCAACTTGTGTGATTTGGAATAGCTTGTGTGATTTGAATCAGCAAATCCTCATTTTGGACTCTTTCCCTGTTACCTTTGGAGAACACACAGTGCCAAGACGATTTCCTGGCAGTTTCTTACAGGTCAGGGTGCTTAGGCTGGGTCATGTCCACATTAGGGAGTTCCATTGTCCATATCTCAGATCCCATACTGGGGTTTCAATTAAAAAGTTATTGTTCAGTTCCCCTTCTAAAAATGTCACATTACGTAATTATCCTGGCTTTAGGAGATTTGAGTTATTTTTGTACCATGTGAATGAATTGGCTATTAGAAAAGTCAGAGCTGTTTGATTTGTCACAACCTAGCGTTTTTCATTTTTTGGTTACAGAGACTTAACATCAGTACAGAGAGTAGTTCACATTTCTTTAGGAAAAAAGAGGCGAAAATTTTAAAGATAGTATGAGTCCAGCTTTGTCTTTACCTCCCAAGTTACTCTTTCCCTCCCTGGTGAACTAGTTCCTTCTTTTATCCTTGTTACCAGCAAGTGGTGATGACAGAGGATGGTGTGAATTGGAGTCTTAAGGGGTCAGGAGGTCAGAGAATCCCATACAGCTGTGAACTTGGTTTGTGTATAATTGCTTATTTGTTTTGCTCTGCGAAGAGGTTTCAATAGACTCCATTAACTTTTCAATGGTGCCCATCAGCCAAAACTGTTAAAAACACTGGCTTACACAGTTGCTTTTTCAGAGAGCTTTTGATATTTTCTTGAAACATTTCCTTTTGGTGATTTTGTGTGTTAGTTATTGTCCAGAGATAACCACTGTTTACATACTAGTTGTCTATTTATACGTGTACAGGTGTGTGTACACAGATCTATATAGAATTTTTAAAGGACTCATTCTATATGAATTATTTCCTCTTTACTAAATGTAGATCAACATTTTTGTTTAATTGCTGCAAAGTAGCCAATGCTGTGGATAAATAATATTTAATCACTTATGGATGAACATGGATAGTTGTATTTTAATAGGAATCAATCTTTAGGTGTGAGAGCAGAATAAGAAACAGGAACCTGGGGCATTTGCTGCTCACAGGACCCCTTTTCCTTTGTCCAGCTTTTTCCAGCCCTCATCAAAGGTTAGGCTGTAATCTTTGGGTCAGAGAACTGTTTACTTTTCCCCAAACTAAGAAAACACAATAGAATTCTAATACTATTCTCTCTAGTCCCAAGATAGTGACATGATTTGGCAAACCATTACCAATCTATAGAGAATATAATTTTAGTGATATATCCATTTCAAACCAGTTACATTTAAATAAATTCTCAATTTTCAGCATTTAAATGTACTTAATTTTGTAGCTTGTATCTTCTGTCCTAAAAGTGATTAGTATCGTTTTGTGGAAAAAAAAATACTGTAACTCTTAAAAGGTTTGATCCATGTAGTCAAGAAGGGGAGTTCTCTACTTATAAAAAGTCTGATGTAAATGTGTATAGTCTATGTGTTCCTGTGCTATTTTGCTGAAAGAGGTCTTCCTGTTTATTTTTTTTCCTCTTCCTTTTCTCTTTTATCTGGTTGTCAGTGACAGGACCAGATTGGAGGCTATGCCAGTCAACACCCTTGGGTCCGGGGTAGTAACTGTTCCCATCTGGCTACATGTGATTAATAGTATTTGTGTCATGGCATAAATCACATTTTGTTGTTCAGTCAGCTGAGACTTTGGCCATTAAAAAAATTTGCTCTGCACAAATCGATAACCCACGGTTTTTGGAAAGGAGCAGTGCTTTATCAGTTATTTCTCCACATCTGTCTGTAAAGATAAACAAATTACTAGTCTTACTAAAATAGTGCAGGTGAAGAGAAATACAATCTCAAAGATAAAAGTGACCTTAAGTAAGGACAGGTAGGAAGCCATTTTGAGGAACACAGAAGGCAACCAAAGAAACCCGATACTTCTCTAAAGGTCCTTACAAATGTCACCCTTTCCTACTGCTCCAGCCAAGAGCAACCTCAGAGAGCTCAAGATGAATTTTCAGAAAGTTTGGGGAAATAAATTGGGTCAATAACAGCATCCTGTGTCTGACTTTATGCCACTATGGGTTGTACCTAAAATATAAAGATATTTATTTATTTATTTATTTATTTATTTATTTATTTATTTATTTATTTATCTTGTTTGCATAATATTACCACTGGGAAACTGCACATAATTTAAATAAATAAATTAACTAAGGTGATAAAATTTCTTGCAAAATAAAATGGAATAGGTTATTTTGAAGGGGTTGGATAACAGAACTAAAGATGAATTTTACATGCCTCACTTTGTAGGGATATGTGAACTTTTACAGTAATGGTATTGACCATTTGTAGCTATGGACTTGAATGGATAAAGGTGGGTTTTGTTAGTTCTATTTATTGGGTGAGTCTGTGGATGTGGCTCACACAACCAGTTTGTGCTACAGTTTCCACTGTGAGTACTCCATTGTTTTTGCCTTGAATTGGGGCTCACCTCCCTGATTTCTGCCTGCAACTTGCCCCTCAGGAATCCATGCCTGCAACTTCCATTTCAAGGATTCAAGTTATGCTAGTTTGACATCTTCACCAGGAACCTCAGCAAAGGCAAATGGTCAAGCTACTTTAAAATTTTTCTAATCCAATTTACAGCACAGATAGCATCCTTTCTGTCATTGAACCAGACAGTCTCTAAATAGTCACAGACACAACCGGGTGAAAAAGGGAAGGAATAGCACCTCGTGCCTTTTTCTCCTCTAAGGACGATGTAACTGCTTTTTGCACAGTATGCCTGCTAGATCAAGGAGGAATAACCTTCAGGCAAAGTGTTTTCGGTAAAAAACTCGTGTTTCTCATCTTACTGTGTGATGCCCAGAGCTGAGAAGAGACCCGTTTCCTGTCACTGCACTGCATCATCCTCATCTACATTACTGGCAGTTGTTCCTTGCTGGAAGTTTAAATTATCTCAAGAACTCTACACTGAGTTCAGATGTTTGTTTATTGGCGCTGCCTTAGGCTTTTGAAAACAGTCTTTTGTGTTCTCCTAGTCTTAAGTAAAGGCTCTTCTCTGAATCAGCCTTCCTCCCTCCTTGCTGGGCTCTGGGAACCTGCTTCAATCTCCTGAAGAAAATTAAATAAAGAAGACACAGAGCTCCAAACGGGTCAAAAGGAGGCTCCAGTGGTGAGGCAGCTGGAAACGGAAAGGACCCAACATCCTGCATTTGTGCTTTGGTTTTGAAACTTCAAGTCAGTTGCGTTAATGAATTAACCAGCGGGCTAGTAATGGAAAATGTTTCTCTTGTCCTGGTGGGGGAGCCAGATACTATAGATTTGTCACAGGAAGGCTGTTGATCCTGGCTTCATTGTTGGGCCAGTCATTTGTGAGCTGGTGGCCGGACCGCAGGCCTTACACTTACTTCTCCCCTACAAATCTTCATGTATTGTAACTGCTTCGGTCTTGTTTCTACTGCCGCAGAATTGGCCAAGAAAACATGGTGAGCCCTTAGGATTCGTTTTATTTTTGTTTGTGTGTGTCCTTAAATCTCTGAGGACTGTGCACTCTGGAGGCGGGGAGGGGGCCAGTGTAATCGATGGTCACATGTGAGCTTTTTGCCGCTAATGCGTTTTCCTGTGTCATCCTCCGTAGAGTTCCGGGAACGCGTCCTACCGCTGTTCAATGTCTTCCTCTGCGGATTTTTCGGATGAGGATGATTTCAGCCAGAAATCTGGCTCAGCATCTCCAGCACCCGGAGACACCTTACCCTGGAATTTGCCTAAACATGAGAGATCCAAAAGAAAGATACAAGGGGGCTCAGTGCTGGACCCAGCAGAGAGGGCTGTGCTTCGGATAGCAGGTAAGTGGGGACCAGAGCGGCAGGAATCCACCCATCTGTTCCCTGGGAGCTGTGTCTGCTAGCTGATGCACTGGGCAGAAATTCGTCTCAGGTGGGGGAGGAAATGACCGTGTTTACTTCATGGAGCAGTTTCCCTGACTCCTGGTGACTAAGCTGTTTGGCTCTGTTCTCAGGTTGAATAAATCGATAGATTTGAAATGCAAGCAGATATTTACAGACATCTGCATTAAACTTTGCTGTTGACGCTCACTAACCAACCAGGCAACCTGAAAGTATTAATGCCAATGATGCTTCATGTATTTGCCTAAGCTGTGGAAAAGCAGCCTTCATTTTTTCTTTTCTTTTCTTTTCCCAAGGGCACCAAGCTGCCCAGATCTAACACAAGAAGATATGTGACTTTTGGTAGATGCAGAGCATATTCTAGCAACTTGAATATCTTTTTTTAAAATGTAGCTTTTCTATCAACATTTCGTGCCCATCCATGGGAGCGTTGTGTCCTTAGTGCCTCTGAGGGGCCATCATGCACTCTTGATTAATTAATACACAGGGAGATCCAGTGTTTCTGTCCTGTGTTACGGGGTGGGGTGTTCCCTTGCATGGGGCCGCCCATACAAGCAGAACCAAAAGGGATAGCTTGTCTGAAAACTGAGAACACTGTGGAAATCTGCTCTCCAGGCCTGTAGTTCCAGTGGGGTTTATGCATATGTGGTCTGCGCAAGCCAGTGGCTTTCCCAGTAGTGGGCCCTGCATTTACTTAATAGTTTTTTCCTCTTGGAAATGGCAACAGGGCAAAATGACAGTGTGTGTCCCTGGAGATTCACTTGCAAAGAAAGGCCAAAGGCCAGATGTTTTTTGAGTTTGTGTCTGTGGTTCAGGCCTCCTTTTCTCTCCCCTGCCCCAACTTGTAAATGGCCAGGAGGGGGGTTGCTCGCATGGTTTCTTGTGCTTTGACTTCCCAAGGTAATGCAAAGCTGGGACTTTCTTTGGGGGGAGGGTGTTTGGGGGTCAGGGACCATCCCAGGTTACAGCCATGCCGGCAGCCTAGAAAGAGCCTCCCTAGGGTGCCCCCAGTGGGATTTTCTGATTATCGGGGAAGAACAAACAGCCTGGCCAGTCACTCTGTAGTCAGGGTTTCTGGGGCAACAGCCTTGAGCTTCTTTTGGCTTCTGTTGTGAGATGCTGGCTGGTCTCACCCAGCCTTTGAGTAGGAGGGGTGGAGCAGGAAGGGGAAGGGGAGGGAGGATGGAGAGGACTGGGAGCCAAGTGAGAGTGAACTGAGGTGGTTTTGGCCTTGGCTCTCACCACCCTCCTGCCAATAAGTGTTTAGTCACTCAGGCCTGCCTCCTTCCCTCTCCCTCCTTCCCTGCCTCCAGCCTTCAAATCCCATGAAGGTCTGAGGGCTCAAGAAGGAGGAGGGACACTGCCCATACCAGACGAAGAGAGCAGAGGTGAAGGGAAGGTGTGTGCAAGTGGTTGGCAAGCATGGGGGCATCAGGATAACTGTTGTCTACGGTTTCTGTGGGAGGTGGATATTTTGGTTTGGTAGTGAAGAAAGGGCATGTGATTGAAAGACAGGGTAGGTATTTGTCAGTGATAATTAATGTCATTAGAAAAACTGGAGAATATTCTACCTGGCACATGTCATGGGAAGTTGGTATTACCCATCAGTGTATACTGTAGGTTAGGAAGCAATGAAAGAACTAGGTGCTAATAGTATATAGGAGACAACACAAGCTGTAGACTCCTTGTCCACTGAGTTTCTTGGGCTAGTTAAGAGATGAGTGCTTAAGACTTCAGAGTGACCTACTTTTAAAATTACACTAATTCTTCAAAGGATAAAGTTGAAAGCCAGTCCATACATGTCTGTTTAACCCTCTGTGTATCCAAATTAGCAGATGTGGGTATGTTACATATTAAATTGGCCACTGGTTATCCAATGTAATGATAAGAACACAGTTTATGTAAGGGAACCTCATGGTGTGAATACTTTGAAAGCATGTCACCCAAACTTTCACTTCTAAATTACTATACATTAAAAAGTTATTTATTTGCTGGGTGTCGTGGCACATGCCTTTAATCTCAGCACTCTTTGAGACAGAGGCTGGCGGATCTCTGAGTTTGAGGCCAGCCTGGTCTACATAGTAAGTTCCAGGCCAGCTGGGGCTACAGGAAGACCCTGTCTCAAAAAGACCAAAAAAATTTATTTATTTATTATTTTATGTGTATGCCTGCATGTATGTAAGTGCATCTGTGCATGTAATGCCCATGGAGGCCAGAAGAAGGCATAGGGTCCCCGGAACTGGAGTAACTGGCAGTTGTTAGCTGCTATGTGGGTACTGGAAACCAAACCTGGGTCCTCTGGAAGAGCAGCCAGTGCTCTTAACCACTGAGCCATCTCTCCAGCCCCCTACTATACATTTTTATACTCTGCTTGGAACTTAGCTCTTCTTTGAAATTCATCCCTTGTGAGAGATGGAGTGAGAGCTTAATATTTTTATTTTTAAGACCATGAAAGTAGAATTGCTTGTGAACTATCTGCTGAGTCAAAAAGCCATATGGGTGGTAGGTAGGGTAGCTTAATTCATCTGTAGTTAACAAATACTGAGCTGCTGAAGTAAAACAAAGAATAGCACATAGTTCTGCTTTGCAAAGTCATTGTTTAATAGGACAAATAAATGTGTTGCCAGACAATTACAACGTGCTTTGAGAATGAGTTATAATGGTTGGAAACACCAAATATTAAAAGAACCCAGAGTTATCTAATTAACTTGGGGAAGAAGGGAGGTGTGGGAGGCTCCTGAAATGCTCTGAAAGGAAGTACCACTGAGCTGAGATTTAAAGAACTTGATAGAATCAATGTGACAGGGAAGGCTACTTCAAAGGGATGGAACTTCATGAACAAAGGTAAGGATGTGCTTAAATTGAAACTGCAAGTAGTGTGTGTAGCTAAGCACAGAGGTTGGAGAGGAATGATAGACATTGCCCTGGTGTTTCCTTGCAGTACTGAGGCCCTGGGCTTCTTACGCTGTACACCGCGGAGAACCTCTGAAAGATTTTTAAGCAGTATAACAATATAATCAGGTTTGTGTTTTAGTAAGTCATTGGTGATGGTGACATGTTTCTGACATTTTATATTCTATATTTATAGGTAGATATACCTAGGTATGTATATATTTATAGTTTCTTTTGTGGTGTTGGGAATTAAACCTAGTACTTTACACATTTTAGGCAAGTTCTATACCTTCTACTGAACTCTCAAGCCCACTTTGTATTTTCAAAAGTGTGTTTGCAGGAAGAGGATGTAGTTCAGTGGTGAAGCACTTGCCTTGGATACCCAAAGCCTTGGTCTGATGTCCAGCACTGGGAAAAAGTGCTTTTATGTTCATTGTAGCTTCATTAGATTAATCTGTAAGTGTAATCTGCAATTATAATATTTTCACTTTCCATTTCTCAGGGCCACTGTGAGATAAAATGTTTAGATGTAAGGAGAGGGCTTTGTAACACTCATTGTATGAACGCTTTTCATTTTTATTTTTTATTTTTTTATATTTTATTTATTATTTTTATTTTATGTGTATGAGTGTATTGCCTGCATGTATGTGAGTGCACCTGTGTCAGGCAGTGCTGCAGAGGTCAGAAGAGGGCTTCAGATTCCCCTGGAACTGGAGTTAAGGACGGTTCGTAGCTGCCATGTGGGTGCTGGGAATCAAACCCGGGTCCTCTGCAAGAGCAGTCAGTGCTCTTAAACCTGAGCCATCTCTCCAGTCCCACAAATGCTTTTTATATGGGAATAATACAGATCTGTTGTTCTTAGCTGAAGGACATTGTAAGCTGGAGCTTTCAGTCTTGAAGAACCTGTAAAGATAAACAGCCTATCAGTGCTAATGATGTTTTTAAAATAAGAATTTTTTTTTTTTGGTCTTTTTTAAAGACAGGGTCTCCTTGTAGCCCCAGCTGGCCTGGAACTCACTATGTAGACCAGGCTGGCCTGGAACTCACAGAGATCTGCCTGCCTCAGCTTCTCAAGTGCTGGGATTAAAGGTATGCACCACCACGCCCAGCTAAAATAAGAATTTTTTAAAGTTAGAATTGATTAGTTAATTGAAAGATCAGATTTTATACTTAGGTGAATTTTGATTTAATTCTGCTCTGCCACTAGTGAGTTTGTGTTGTTGTTTTATGAGACAGAGTCTTATGTAGCACAAGTTTTCTCTCAGTGTGACACTTAGCAGAGGCTGACCATGAAATCCTGATCCTCTTTCTCTCAAATGCTGGGATTACAGATGTGTACCATGCCTGATTCAAGTTGTGTCACTCAGACAATTTACTGTACTTTTTTAGGTCCAGTTTCTTTATTAAGAAATGTGGTCATTACTGTGGTAATAAATAGGATAGTAAATGTAAACTATTTTGCAGATTATTTGCTACATGGAAATGACTCTCTAAATAAATGATAACATTTATTTATAATAATAAATGTACATGGCCAGGTACTTTTCTAAGCAGTTACTAATAAATCTTATTTAGGCTTATATAAGAACCTGACATAGTTGGTACTGTGATTTTCTCCATTTTTTTTTCAGTTCAGAAATCTCCTGAGAGAGAAGTACCCCAAAATCATAGGCTAGGGATTGGATTCAGGCAGTCTTTACTTCACATGCCAAGCTGTTTCCTGCTATGATTTTGCTACTTCCCCATGGACTATGCACTTATTACTAGCATATTGACTCACTCTTATGGTTTCAAGAATGCTTGGGGCAGAGGTGAACCCCAAATACTGTTTTGTTCATTTTGGTTGGCTCCTTAAATGGACAGTTAAAAATCATAAGACTGTGGGGTAGAGAGATGGCTTGATGGTTAAGAACACTGGTTGTTCTTGCAGAAGACCTGGGTTTGAATCCCAGCACTCACACAGCAGCTAACAACTGTCAGTAACTCCAGTTCCAGTGGATCCGATGGCCTCGTCTGTCCTCCATGGGCATTGCATGACATGGGTGCAC